TAAGACTCCAAGTTCAGCGGTCCGGGGAGAGATGGGTTGGACAACTCCATTTTCTAAAGAAAATGTCGAAATTGTACGGTTGTGGTGTAAGCTCTGCGCTACTGACCAGTCACGAATACCGAGTGCTATATGCAGATGGTCTAATACTTTTTCCTTATCTTGGAATAGAATTGTTGTTAAAGGTCACATGCAATGTAAAACACAACTTTGCAGATTCTGATACCTTTCGGTATGGACATACCGAAACAAATCGTCAAAAATGCAAATTCAACTTATAAAGTTGAAAAATAACGCGATGAAAAAACCCGCGCGAAATCGGAGTTCAAACGTTTCACTAATTTTCCCCAGACTTTTCTGGGGAAAACGGGTTTCAACAGCTGGGCTGCGCTCATAGCACGTGCGCAAGTAAATAGGTTCGCGCAGCTTGGAAGCGGGTTGTCGGGTGAATACTCGGTGAAGGTTTTGGTGTGAGCTATTTTTCCAAATTTTTGTTGATATCTCACAGGCGCGAGCTTTTTATATGTTATGACAGTAAATTAACGGTTTATATAATTTCATTTGTCTATTTCTCCACACGTTCTTCTTACCGAGACACTTTCTCAGTTCGATACTTAAAAGCAATGTCATTATTTAGCGTTGACTGAATTTCTGACTGTGATATAGATATGTCGTTGTCACAGACAAAACTGAATGTCTTTTTTTATTGACACCTGTGTGTCTGCCTGCCTGCCTGTCTGCTAATGACAATATTCAATACACAGCTGCTATCACTGACCACATGCAATTTGAACTTAACACCAATCAGGCTATACACCATAAACAAAATGCATTGATTTATGGCCCGAGTTCGGTCTCTGTCACATTATGTAATTACACAGACAGGCAGGTGTGATACTTGAACACATGACATGTTATGATATCTGTTGATTGCAAAATGTTATACACAAAAAAATGAGCATGTATTTACAAAACCCAACATCTCTATATATATATACACACAATTAGCCGTGAAGGCATCTGCAAATGAACCAGCTGTTACACTTGAGTGCACGCCCACCCGCTCTGACTGGGTTCGGTATCCCTGCTGCTTCGTTTCTTGGGAAGTAAACCGAAGTACACAATATTGCACTTTTGATTTGCGATTGTACGCTTATCATTTTGTTTATATGTTTTTTCATAACCAGCAATGTATATTATATGCCATGAATAAGTGATAATTGTGTTTTAATTATGTTTGATTTTTTGGTTGCATGTGACCTTTAATGTTTTTTACAATTTAGAGCACCCCGTTGCGGACCTGCTTCATATGTCTACAATTTCGTTATGTTTAACAGTGGATACCGTCTTTAGATTGCCTTATTTGGAAACAGAGAACCTTGGAACGACCGAGGGAAGCGTAAACTCCGTACTTTTTTTTTTTTTCAGCATCGCCATTATTGAATGGGTTGTTCCTTTTCAAAAATTAGATCCGACAATCAGTTCATGAATACTATACAAGGTTTCCAGCGGATATGTATTTGTGGACAATTTCATTGGCTCATGATCAAGGCTTTGGTGAAGTTGCTATGTTTTGGTTTTCCTTGGACTATTCAGTCAGATCAGGGCTCAGATTTCATGTCATTTCCAGAAGGGAATGCATCATTTGGGCATAACTCAGGTTGTGTCTACAACGTATCAATGGTGTCCAATCTTTGGGAGCTAGTCGTCTCTAGCCCCTTTTTGTTCTGGTTTGAAAATTGATGGTTTTATGTGTTACATGCTCTCAAATTTGGTTAACAAATATGTGATACTTTCGATGACAGCTTTTTATGAAGAACAAATATATTTATGCATGACGAAGGATTATTAGCAAATTTCGCTGATCGTCTGAAGCGGTCCTCAGCTTTCATCACTACAGATGGACTTTAACAATTCAACATTATTCCATATGGGATCAGCTACACTCCAGGCAATTACCAGCATCTCATCACGTACACTCCAGACAACTACCAGCATCTCATCAGTTACACCCCAGGCAACTACCAGCATCTCATCAGTTACACTCCAGGCAACTACCATCATCTCATCAGTTACACTCCGGTAACTACCAGCATCTCATCAGTTACGCTCCAGGCAACTACTAGCACCTCATCAGTTACACTCCAGGCAACTACCAGCATCTCATCAGTTACACTCCAGGCAAAACTACCAGCATCTCATCAGTAACACTCCGGTAACTACCAGCATCTCATCAGTTACATTCCAGGCAACTACCAGCATTTCATTAGTTACACTCCAGGCAACTACCAGCATCTCATCAGTTACGCTCCAGGCAACTACCAGCATCTCATCAGTTACACTCCAGGCAACTACCAGCATCTCATCAGTTACACTCCAGGCAACTACCAACATCTCATCAGTTACGCTCCAGGCAACTTCCAGCATCTCATCAGTTACTCTCCAGGCAACTACCAGCATCTCATCAGTTACACTCCAGGCAACTACCAGCATCTCATCATTTACACTCCAGGCAACTACCAGCATCTCATCAGTTACACTCCAGGCAACTACCAGCATCTCATCGGTGAAGCGCCAGACAATCTCGAGTATGTCGAAGGCTATCACCGATTCCATGGGGTATCTCGATCACCTGAAGAGGATACGTGCCTTCCTCGAAAGAACCACCACAACTATAGAAACCCGTCTTACTAATGAGAGACAGGTGAAATGTGCTTAGAAAAATATATCGTCAAACTGCATTGAGAAATGTAAAGAAATTCCCATCAACTGTTTTATTGCCCGAGTATCAAATGTCGAAAACATTGAAATATTCGTCTGTTGTTTAACGTCACACACAACAATATGACAGCGGTCTTGGACCAGACATACTGTCCATCGATGACAGGATACTGATTCATACTATATCCAGTACTTATATTCAATTCATCGTCACGATATGGCTGAAATATTGTCTTTGTGACTTTAAACATTTAACTCAATCACTCACTGGACCAGAAAATCCAGTCATCAACTGCAAGACCATCGATCTACGCAATTGCGTCAAGACAAATAACATTTTAAAATGAGATTGGAGCAAGACTTTAGTGACGCTGGAGCTGGAGCTGGATCAGGATCAGGATCAGGAGCTGGAGCAGGAGCTGGAGCAGGAGCAGGAGCTGGAGCAGGAGCTGGAGCAGGAGCAGGAGCTGGAGCAGGAGCTGGAGCTGGAGCAGGAGCTGGGGCAGGAGCTGGAGCTGGAGCAGGAGCAGGAGCTGGAGCTGGAGCAGGAGCTGGAGCTGGAGCTGGAGCTGGAGCTTGGACTGGAGCTGGAGCTGGAGCTGGAGCAGGAGCTGGAGCAGGAGCTGGAGCTGGAGCTGGAGCTGGAGCTGGAGCAGGAGCTGGAGCTGGGGCTGGAGCTTGGACTGGAGCAGGAGCAGGAGCTGGAGCTTGAGCAGGAGCTGGAGCTGGAGCAGAAGCTGGAGCTGGAGCTGGAGCTGGGGCTGGAGCTTGGACTGGAGCAGGAGCTGGAGCTGGAGCAGGAGCTGGAGCTGGAGTTTGAGCAGGAGCTGGAGCTGGGGCTGGAGCTTGGACTGGAGCAGGAGCAGGAGCTGGAGCTGGAGCAGGAGCTGGAGCAGGAGCTGGAGCTGGAGCAGGAGCTGGAGCTGGAGCTGGAGCAGGAGCTGGAGCTGGAGCTGGAGCTGGAGCAGGAGCTGGAGCTTGGACTGGAGCAGGAGCTGGAGCTGGAGCTGGAGCTGGAGCTGGAGCAGGAGCTGGAGCCGGGGCTGGAGCTTGGACTGGAGCAGGAGCAGGAGCTGGAGCTGGAGCAGGAGCTGGAGCTGGAGCAGGAGCAGGAGCTGGAGCTGGAGCAGGAGCTGGAGCTGGAGCTGGAGCTGGAGCAGGAGCAGGAGCATGAGCTGGAGCTGGAGCAGGAGCAGGAGCAGGAGCTGGAGCAGGAGCAGGAGCGGGAGCTGGAGCAGGAGCAGGAGCTGGAGCAGAAGCGGGAGCTGGAGCTGGATGATGCATCATGTTTGGACCACTCTATTTATCTTTTAGCAAGGCAGCATTATAAGCATCATATAAAATATTCCAACATGGAAAAGAAACTCTTGCTCTGTTGTTACCTCTTCAACAATTTGTATTGTAGCTGCGTACTAATGTTTTGCCTAAACAAGTGTACACTGGTCACTATCCACATGATATTTTTCAGGAAATGATGAACAAACGGAAATGACTAATGCATTGGAGCTTTTCGTTGCAAAAATTTCATTTCGACATCAAGCATATTCAAAATAAAGATAGCCTCATGACAATCCATGAGCAATAATTCGGCTTTGACAACAGGTATGCTCATGATATTTTTGGAATTGTCTGCTTTAGCAGAGATTTCTTATGAGTGTGTACTAATGGTTCTCTCGCTTTATGTTAAATTTTACAAGTGTTGCTCACTACTATCATATATAATATATGCTAGTATGTCCTGTGTTTTCCAGTTTGGTACTTTCATTTGCAAAGAAAAGTGTTTTCTGTTGTAAAATATAGTGAATCCCATTTTACGTCAAGACGACCAGTTGTGTGAGGATCACCTTTCAGCTTCCAACACTTTCTCCCTGTTCAGCCAGGCTGAGGTTATTCATTCATTATACGGTGCTGAATTGAATAACTCCAGGGGAATATTGATCACAGGCCCGTTTAATTAGCTGTCTTTCCACCTACAGATTGTCAGTGATGGTTCATCAATTTTCTTAATATAGGCTTGTATGTCGTTGTCTGTGGTATCACCGTGTCTGTCGTGAGTGGGTTCAGCTACTTCAAATTGCCTTATCGTATATAGAATCAGATAATAATCAGATATTAATAGTAATATTATTCTCCGACACCAGATCCCGTAAATGACATTGGCATCAAGATTAATTGGACCACTTCTTGTAAAGGTCATACTTATACATGTTCTTATTCTTAAGGTACTTACTAGATATGGATGACAAATAACTTTCCAATATTATAACTTTCTCCACCTTTAGTTTCAAAATGGCAAGTACAAGAAATGACACATTTGACAACTTCGACAAGAGAGATGGCATGACGCCAGGTCAGGTTGCCGATGTCTTCACAAACGCCGCCGGCACTTACGACAAGGTGAGGTTAATGATCCTTAAAATGTTACTTATCGTATCTTATCTTCAGCAGCACGAAACGTGATGTGCTGGTTGTACGTAGGGGGAATGCCATCGGACACTTGAGCGTCACATTACAGAGTGTTCTACAGGTTCTATGCAAGGTGGATGTTTGTGTTGTAGGAGCCCCCATCTTATCACAACACACTCCCTAAACTCTCCTATCATATCTCGCCAAAATACACAGATTAACGAGAGTACAAGCTGACGGTTAAAAGAAACTTCAACGTAGATACAAATCAATCCAGTTTAAAAACAACAAAAAATGCTTGGAGTAAATTGTATTGCACTTACCGAAATTGTAACAAAATCAATATCTAATATATCAGTCCTGCAGCAACCGTTATTGGCATGTCAGTTGCAAGAATTCGGACGAGGTAGCCAAAACAAGCTTTTAAAGTAATGGGCAATGGTCACACACATATAGAATACGTCACATTACTAGTGTATGTGACCTCCAAGACATGGGAAAACCTACCGGGCGCACAGAAAATGTCAGTCGTCTGAATAAGTTACTGTCGGTTGACTTGAGGAGAGCGAAGCCACGACAACATGTTGACCTTGCTCACGGCAAGGATGTCCAGTACAGTTCACGGCTGCACGTGTTTTACGCTTTATATTCTGACATTTCATAAGAAAAAAGTTTTGTTACGTTTTTGCTTTTATATCTTAAACGTTTCTTTTGGCCGTCAGTGTAATATTGCATTGATTATGGCTGCAGCATATCCGCAAGAGAATATTATAATATATGTTCAGAATAAAAATTATGCCATAACTTCGCCCGCAGATCCTATCATTCCATTGTCATATAGCTTGAAATGAGAGTTTGACGTTAAACAACACAACGGACACATCAATATCATAATCATTGTGTATGACAGGTGGTTGTGGCGTACATTTACAGGTGTGGACGATCAGAAATTACAAGGACCACTTATATGTAGCCGAGGGTGTAGCTGACTACTTTCAGGAAGATAGGAGGGCATCTGTGAAGATTCTGGATGTTGCTGCTGGCACAGGGATGTTAGCTGAACAGGTGAGCACACTGTGGAGAAAACTAATGATTCTTATTCGGGACTGGTCATGGGGAATTGAGTCCTGTGATTGAGATTCGTCTGGTTCAGACCAAGCAAGTCATGACTCTTACTAAACAGGGGTGTAAAGTGTAGGATAAGACAAGACAATGACAGCTCTTATGGCAAGGGGTCTGTTGAAGTTTGGCGACTGAGCAATTAAATTGTGGTTGATGGATCTAGTGACATATTCTATGAGTTAGGATATGGTGAATGAGGACTGACCGACACAGTTAAAGTTATTTGTTATGTTTCAGTTGTGGAAAAAAGGATTTAGGCAACTAGACGGTCTTGATCCATCGCCTGGTATGATGGCTGAAGCAATGAAGAAAGGCGTATACACTAATTACTACCTGGAGTTCATGGATGGACACACCATTACCGAACTGGACACAGGTCATATGTTAAAATAAATCTATTTTGAGATGTTTTTATTTAACTTTAATATAAAACACCTGGCAAACCAATCATCTGTAGAATTGACGATTATGCGCAAATTGGAAATAATGTACCATGTGTTAATTCAAGTGTGGCTGAATGGATATCTTTGTTCATTATGTTCGCACTACAGTTGGTTGTAACTGTTGTATTTGATCAATGCATACGTATTTATGAACTTGTCATATAATATCAGTAATTATTTCAACCCATTACAGACACATACGATTGTCTGGTGGTAGCTGCTGGTTTCAACATAGGTTTATTGCCTTCTGCTGCCTTACCGGAGATGGTGCGACTTGTGAAGCCGGGTATTGTGGTTTTATTTTTGATTCGTACGAATTTGTTCCAGGAACCTTTATGATACCCAGTATGGCCATGCATTTTCTGATATGATATGATGAAGTTATATATTTATTACAAGATGTAGATACAGTCACGTCTAAGCTCAGTTTGTCTTAGACGCCAACTTTAGATCCAAGCACAAACGAGCACATGGCCTTCAAGACTTTAAACCTTTCATAACCCGTAAAGACCCGGGTTAGAATTGGTCCTCAGCAACCCAAGCTTGTCGAAAGAGTAGACTAACGGGATGGGGTGATCAGGCTCTCTGACTTGGTTGACACATGTCATCCTCTGCCAATTGCGTAGATCGATGTTCATACCGTTTATCACTTGATTGTCTGGTCCAGACGCGATTATTTACAGACCGACGCCATATAGCTGGAATATTGCTGAGGGTTGAGTAAAACTAAACTCACTCACTCACTCATAAATCAGTGAAAAGTAGAGTGAGTGAGTGACATCAGCAATGTTTCAGCCATATCGATGAAAAGTACAATGTAGAAGAATCACCTTGTTTCGAAAAACAGTTGACGAAGTTTACATTCTGTTGAAATATCATTGATGAGGACAACCTGAAACACTGGATATGAACTAGACTAACGCTTACTCCCTGAATATATAAAATTTTGATAGTAACAAATAAACCGATTTAAATTGAAAAGGAGCCATAGAGAGTTGGGAGATTAAGTAGCCTGGGATATCTAGACTTGCTTCATGAAGGGCTTTAGCACTTCAGAGAGGGCTAAGCATTAGGGAAAATAATTTGGTTCAGGGACTGTGAGACAGACTAGATGTCAACATAATGTCTCTCTTTAGGTAGCTGAAAATTAAAGGTTTCGAAAAATAATAATAAGTGGAATCACGTCTGAAAAACAGGTTAAGTTTCAGCTCTCCTCATAATTGCTGATGGAGTGGGACCTCGTTTCATCATATGACAATTTAAGCAATTACATTACTCAGATATTATGTAAATAGCATTGCCCTATAGCAAATGACTACGGAAAAATATACTGATTTGAAGATCGTTGTTGTCCGTGGCAGGAGGTGTGATGTGTTTTGGCATCCCCGACGCTCGATTCACTGAGGTAAAGGAATACATCAACAGACTGGAACCTCTGATGCAATGGATGGAACAGGATGGGGCGTGGCAACTGTTGGACAAGAAACACTTCGAGGATTTTTATGACGATGCAAATCCAGGACTTGTCTTCAGATATATAGTTCGTGCATCTGATATCGATGGAAAACAATACATAGAAAAGCTTTGTCACACACACTGACGTTCTTTCACTGATGAAACCAGTGCTATTAAGAAATACACTGTTTAAGAATCCTACCAGCTGTGGTAATGGCCCTTGTAATGTTAATCCAATTATTGGTGCAGCAATATGTGTCCAGTCTTTGTTAAATGCTTTGCTGTCACTCTTCAACTACCCCTGCTTCTCGTTGTTAGTTGCTACTTTGTGAGTACCAAGCTAATGCTGGGGACAGATACTGTGCGATTGTCCCTGTTAGGTTCCCTGTATGTAGCCATGGAATGTAAATCACAGTTTGCCAGGCTTCTGTTGCTCATGTGTTTCAGCTTTTCTTATTTAGTAACCATGGTTCCTAGTTTGTTGATCTAACATCGGGTTTGGGGTCCATTTTTATATTGTGGTGTTGATTTAAATACTTTTACAAAAAAAATTAAATGCTATCAATCAGTTTTACGTTATAGCTCTGATAATGCAGTTGTTCTACTGTCCATCGATGACAGGCTTCTTATTCTAAATATATTAAGTATTTGTATTCTAATTCTCGTCACGATATAGTAAAATATTACCGATGTGGCGTTCAATATTACTTCACTCGTTCAGGTTCCCTTGATAGTTAGCTTTGGATCCGGTGTTTTATTATTTTATAGTATATGTTATATTCCCGTTGATATATAGCAATACGCATGTGTATTGTCTTGTTGGTTTTGTCGCTGCATCGCCTATGGGAACATTCTTGCATACATCCAATTTACATTATGCTCACATTCATTCACAAATCTAACATACGTTTAATGTTCTAAAGTGAATATTCTTGTCAAATCATTTCATTATTGCACGAACGGCCACAGGCCCATATCCAAATGAATGACATTGTACTAACATATATACTGAAAACAAAAAGTATGGGAACACCCTGAAGTTTGGTAGTCATTTATAAACTGAAACGTGGTGAGCTCGAGATCAGTTATACTCAAAGGTAAATGCAACTTCGTGCGTTCTTAATGTGCACTTTAAACGACATGTTGGAACATGCAGTGAAGCAATTGATTCAGTATTCGTTGAGTTTGAGTGAAATGAAACAAAAATATCAAAAACAGCGAAAAACAAGGGTGCTGAAACACACCAACACCATGTTTAATTCAATCGCCCAAACACAACAGCTTAGTGCATGTGGAAGACAGACTTCCCTTGCATGACATGACATGACATGAATGTTTATTTAGACCAAAGGTCAATCGCCTTTACGTTCAATAATAATTAACATGTGCACATGTGCATTACATTTCTCACCCCGCCCACTCCCCTCCCCTCATGGTGGCAGACCCGTAAGATACATAGAGATTCAAACAAATTCAGCTGTTGCTTTCTCCTTAAGTATATGATACACAAACTTTGACAAAATAAGTATAACTGCAGTACGTTCGTCTTGCAACAGCTCAACAAATCTAGCCAGACTTGGATATTTGTAAACTGACCTTGATATATATCTTTTTCTATAAAGTTCATCTTTAGGACAAACCATCACAACATGGTATTCATCTTCAATGTCCTTACAGCAAAATGGACATAGTCGTTCATTTAATTGTAATTTGGGAGTAAACCATCTACCTTTTCAACCATTAAATTGTGAGAACTAAGTCTGAATTTACTTAATGCAGTTCTATATTTAACAATATCAATATCTACCAGGTATCTTTCAAAACATAGACTTTGCTTAGTATGCAAGTACAACCTTGCGTAACTTAATGAGGCTAAATTATGTCTCCACATTTGCTCATATATATCCCTAATTTTGAGACTAAATGATCTAAGAAATCCTACTTTGTTGACAACTACTTGGGCATTCCACAGATATCCAAATCCATACTTTTTCAAGGTATCCTTAGGTACAGTCACCCAGCTTACTCTATCAGGATGAGATTTAGACAGCTCTAATAAAGCAGTCCTCGTTGCTATCTTCCACCAGTATTTATTAATATACAGTTCCAGAGACTTCTAGCAAAAGCCACGCCACACCAATAGCATTTAGAAATTACTGAAATCCCAACGTCTTCCAACGAAAACACCGGAACAAAAACAAACAAAGGGAGACAACTCCCCAGTACTGATGTAAAAATACATAGCCTAAGTTCAAGGAGTGAGTCCACATTCAGTGCTTTAACTTTTTGTGACCCATAACAACTAAAAGTTAAGACAGTCCAGTGATCAACATCATGAGCATCTATCTCGCAATTGGGATACGATGACATGTGCCAACCTAGTCAGTGAGCCTGACCACCTGATCCGGTCAGTTGTAATATAACAACAAGCATGGGTTGCTGAGTACCCATTCTAACCCGGATCTTCACGGTTAGTTTCATCATGTAAACACTGATGTCAAACTGTTGACGTGAAACTGAAATTGCGTGCATTCGTCACGCCAGTATGACACGTAACAAAGGCTCGACAGTGATCAAAGTAGCTGGAAGGCGTAACACAGTGCTTATGATATCCATCTGATATCTGGTCCAGATATCATTAATAATACACTATATTACCCATTTGGTGAAACATAGTCAGTGTTATATATATCATATGTGCACATATCACTGTTGCCTAGCAACCATTGTTTCTGCATTTCGTCGTGTGTAACGTCACTAAACAGTTGAACGTGACGTCAATGAAGAGGGCCGTCACAATGGCTTACAGTGTTTTACCGCACAAATGTACATGATTAAAATGGATAATAAAAATCTATTACACTCGAACAAGTGTATTATACGACTTGTACGAAACTCGTTCAAAATTCTGCACTGCCCTCGCCCTCGCTCGGGCAATACAAAATTTCACCCTAGTTTCTAGGGCTGCGCAATATAACCGGTTTACCGGTATTTAGCGGTTCAGACATGAAAACGATACGCATTGCGATACGCTGATCGAAAACCGGTATTTTGACTTGCATTCGGAAAACTTCGTTACACTCGGAAATCTTCGGATATTTCCTTGTTTCATTTGTGCCAAATACTATTTACATTTTTATTTTGTCATGATTAAAAGTTTTTATTATAGCTTAATCAAGCATAGTGATTTTGTTGTGTTCATGCTTTAAAAATCAAGCATTAACTCGATTATAAGTAGTTTTTCTGTTTTTCTTATATTGCTATCTTAGTATTTTCAGTCACCTGATGAAGGCGTATACAATTGTTCCTCAAATAAAGATGTTGCCATCCACATATTCTCGCCTCTAAAGTGCTTGAGTGAGTGAGTTAAGATTTTAAGTCACATCGGCAGTATTTGAGCCATATAGTGACTATATCAAGTTATGCGTTAAAAAACCATTATAGGTAAATTATACAGACACTGTCAACGAAGGACAGTAAAACAACTAGTTTATCACAGATAAAAAATTTAAAACTAGTAATAAAATTTAAAACATCTCGCCTTAAAGAACCAATATCCTTCTCATATAAGTATTTGCACAGATGGATCAAAGGATGGCGCGAAGGTATCAGCTGCGGCTCTTATCAACAACTGTACTATGTCGTTAGTTGCAGAAGGTTAATTTCCGTATCTGTCCAGTCATGTTGGCAGAAGTGCAATCTGCAAAATATGTACAGGGTAAGTCTACTTCAGGCACAAACTTCTCGTATTCCGATGTCCGATCCTCTATTAGAAATTATGTAAACGGCACTGTGTATCCATAAACGATAATTGGCACAAACGTTGGGTTTCCAAGGTCACCAATAAGCTTCATACCTTCAAGCCAATGATTTGGATGTCAGCCAACTTCGGGTCTATCTCACAAAAGGTTCTGAAAATGAAGATCCTCCTTTTTTGCATCCATTGCAATTTTACATTTTGCTTGAGTGTGTTGATTATCAGACAAAGTTTACATGACAAAATTCTTACTTCATATGAAGTTTTTAAAATAGCTTCTAAGCACCTGACTTTTGTATTTCTATAGGAAATCAAATTGTAGATATAGTTTGTATTGCAACAGAGAGATATTTGACTCAGATTTTAACATTTCATACAATTTTCATTGTGTCTGTTAACATGAATTTAAATGTATGACATTTCACACCGGGAATAGCTGCAACATTGCTGATGCTGTGGTAAGCAATACTTACTCACTCACTCATTCACCATGGACCCGAGGGTTTTATAGGGAATGGTGGATTCCTTTGCTAGTTTATGATGTTGGTTAAATTTTCGGTTTTGTTTATCCAAAGGGTTCTTAATTTCGCCGCCCTTTTACCTGGACAGGTAGTTGTGTTACCTGTCAGTTATCCCACACCTGGGAGGGCGTTTCTTTACCGGAACTACGGTATACCCTCGTACTTCGGTCCTGACGATAAGGGATGTGCGAGAGGTACCGTGTCAGTACCGTGTCAGTACCCGAGGGCCCTTTGGACCTTTACCGTAGTTCCTCCAGCAACCACAAGACGATGATCTTCGTTCCACAGTTTTATTAACACTGCGTTGCTGGTCCAACCCACTCTATTTGTCACATAATTAGGAGACTTCAGCTGGAAAGCTTCAGTCTCAGTCGAAATGCTGGTGCTTTGAGTTTGTTTCTTAGTACGAAAGTTAGTGACAATCAGATGAGAGCTGATGCGCCCTAGACCCCAGGCTTGGGGTTCCTAGGAGCACGCTCGTTCTCGGCTTCAGGTCTCGCACCACTCTCTCGTCTCTGAGCTTTGCTCCAGCTTAAAGCCGGGTTCCTACGTCACAGCCAACACCCTTTTCCATTTTTTCTATTGGTCAATAACCCATAACCTGACTATCTATTACTCTCCCCCACCTCTATTTCGTACCCCCACTACCATATTTGTAAGACTGTGAGGTGGATTCCAGGAATCTCAGAGTCTCTCTCCCCTAACCATATATGACTCGTAGAGTACCAAGAACTGGTAGCTAGGTCCCCGGACACGCCGCTCCGTCTTGATAGTGTAGTAGTTTTTCCCCTACCTAAGCTATGAGTCACCTCACCTTGCCCCCATCAGCTCCAACGACCTACTTTCATGTTTATTACCTCCGCTACTGACTTCCTACCTTACAACGTTATTAATCACTTCATATCTTAAATGTGTTATTAAATCCTCTCATAATTTGTATCTTATCACCTCTTAATCACCTGTTATTAATAATGTCAATTGTATATCTATTATTGTAGCAAGTACAATAATCTCATGCCTATAATACGACCCCCTTTCTGACCAAGAGTGTGCCCTCACACTCTAAGTTCTATCTTTATCAATATTATAATTTCATGCCTATAATATTAGAATATATTTTTATCCAGTCGGCTATACCCTGGCCGTTAGAATCTACTTCACCGTTCACACCTCAGGAGGGCGTTAGAATTACATTGAGGATTTAGTGTACTACCTCTTAATGATCAGTTGTTTTTTGTTTACATTTCCAATT